CTCCCCACTGCCTTCTGCCCTCGGGCCCATGGTGGCTGGAACCCCAGGGAAGGGCTCCTGTAGGGTCTGTCTGTCTGTCCGTCCGTCCGTCTGGCTGGCTGGCTGGCTGGCAGGGCTAGGCTGGAGTGGGGGGCATGGATGAGCACTGAGGCGTTTGGGCTCACTGCCCTGCGTGTCCTCCTCCCTTCTCCTCCCGCTTGGGTTTATTATAAATCCCTGTGATCTGAGGGGAAGAATCGAAAACAAAATATGTTCTCTGTTCTGAGGTGCTCCCCTCCCCTCCTTCCCAGACATGGGGGCCGGGGGAGGAGACCCTGCTTGAGGGCCTTGGGAGGCAGACTCTCCAGGTCCTGTGGCGGCGTCCCCCCAAGACCCCCGTCTCTTCGGGCTGGCCAGCCGAGTGGGCAGGCTGGTACATGCGTGTACATGCCGACACCTGGGGAGAGAGGGGGGTGGGGGAAGACTGGGGAACCAGATCGCTTGGGTTGGTTGGCTGAGGTAGAGACCTCACGGTGGGGGGACCAGCTGCAGGGGTGCACACAGTGTTCTCCTTCTTGGCAGTTGGAGCCTCCAGGGTGTCCTCCAGCCCCTGCGTACTCTCCCGGCCCAGCCCAGGAGCGCGTCTCCTGCCAGCTCACAGCCTCTGGTCTGGGGTTTGGGCTGGAGGCTTATCGCTTCTGTCTCTAGATTTTTTTGGTTCTCTGGATCTCTGTGACACCCTTCCTCCTAGGGCAAGGGGGTGCCACGGGATCTGGCAGCTCCATGAAGTTGTGTGGCCCTTCGCCAGGGCAGGTGCAGACTCAGATCTGGTGCCCTTGCACCAGGGCGGTGCAATGAGGCCCTCTGACATGGGCCAGGGTGCCCACCACGCTCTCCGCACGCCTGTGTGTGGAAAAGTGGTGCCGGAAGCGTCTGGGGCCACATCTCTTCCTGCTGCTACCCCCTCCCAAGGGCTGCTGGGCCTTGAGACAGTGCCATTGTGCTGGCAAGGAAGTGGCCTGCTGCTTGGGCAGGGGCTGTACCTGGGAGGCCGCACCCAGCCACACCCAGAATCATCTTTATGCTCCTGCTCCGCCCCAGCCTGTGAACTGACAGCTCCTGCCTGAGCCGGTCAACAGGAAGCTGGTCTGGGGCTTGCTCCCTGCTGGCTACCCCTCCGTCCTTCCCTCTGCCCCTGCCCAGGGCTGCCCGACACCTCTCCTTCCCAGCAGGAGTGGCCTCTGTGGCTGCCCTACCTGAGCAAGAGGAACCACACCAGTGGGGGCGGGAAGGTGACCATGAGCATGGAGGGGCCAACTGAGGGGCCTTTGCCTTTTCCCAGTGGAGGTCTGGTGGTGCAGTGGTTAAGAGCTACGGCTGCTAACCCAAAAGCTGGCAGTTGGAATCCACCAGCCGCTCCTTGGAAACCCTATGGGGCAGTTCTCCTCTGCCCTGTAGGGTCGTTCTGAGTCATTATCGACTCGATGGCAGTGGATCTGTTTGTTTTTGGCCTTCTCCGAAGTCTACCTCCACCTCTCTTGAAGACTCATCCCATAGAGAGAACATGCTTGCAGTGTGTGTGTGTGTGTGTGTGTGTGTGTGTGTGTGTGTGTGTTGCCTGTGCGTGAAGGGTAGACTCTGAGTACTTTTACCGTGTCTGCATGCTCCTGTGGGGGCTGTGGCCTGTCACGGTGCGGCTGGGCACCTGGGTGTGTGCCGCGATGGTAGCTGGCACGTGACTGTGTGAGAGCATGTCACCGAGGCTCAACAGGGAAACCAGTGTTTGTCTTTGCACTTCACTACACTCAGGACTGTGACTTGGGGCTGACAATTGTGTGTGCAATTAAGTGAGTAAGCAGAATGAACTTTTGAGTGTGTTTGCTCTCTGTGTATGCGTTTGCCTCAGGAAATCTGCCGGTATGAAGGGCAGGCTGTAGGAGTGAGCCTTTGCCTAAGGTGAGCCGAATCTGCGTGGCAGAAAGACTCACGGGGTATGAACGTCTAAGGAAGACTAAGCTGTTTGTACCAGATGCATCTGTGTGTCTAAGACAGACGGGCCGGGGCTGTTAGGAAGCTGATGTGTGTTTGCGGGCGGCTGCGGCTTTGTGTGTTTTCTGTCCGCTGTATGTGTCGACTAGTTGCTTTGGCCCCAGTGGTGGGGAGTGAGCCCAGCCACCGAGAGAGACGTGGTGCTGGCTGTGCATCTGTGTGCGCACACACAGACCAGAGCCACCCAGCTGCTGCCACGTGGCTGCTCTGTGCCCCGTGGAAACCGGAAAGGGGTGTTGCTTCATTCACTTGCAAGCACTGAAGCCTGAGCCCTGGAAAGACCCAGGCCTGATGCCCACTTATCTGGTGGCTTTGGGAGGCTGTTGGGGTTCTTACCTGACGGAGCCCTGTGTCTGGAGGGAAGGCGGCCTGCCTCCTCGCTGGTCTCCCTCCAGCAGCCACATTGTGGGGCCGAGGATGGGATGCAATAGACAGCTGGGGGAATTCGGTGACGGCTCACTCGTTTCTCTTTTGTCCCTGTCCCCGTCCCTCATATCCTTTTGCGCCAGCATGTGTATGCACACAGAGCAGAGAGAAGTGGGCTCTGTTGGGACGGGTTCCGTGACCCCCTCCCCTCACCTCACGTCCTTCCCTGCCCAGGCAAGAGGCTGGCGGTGGCACTCAGGGGTCTGAGCCGGTCCTTGCTTTTCCTCTTGTGCTTAGGCAGGCTGAAGGGCACAGACCCCTCCTCTTCCCCTAGAGAAGTGGGGAAACGGAGAGCGAGTCCCCCTCCCCACCAGGGTGACCGGAGCCCTTTCTCAGGCACACATGACTCGAAATCCAAGTCCTCTTCTCATTAATGGGAAAAATGTGCCGAGATTGAGCGATGGCCAAGGCTGAGCGACGGCCAGGGGCCGATCCCTCCCTCTCTCACTCCCCAGAAATTAAACAGAAATGGAGAGCCTCCCTCCCGCCCCGGCGCCCGCCTCCCCACCCTCCTCTCCCTCCTCCAAGCCAGCGCGGGGCTTGTTTTAAACTGTGGAGGAATCTGGCTGCAGGGGGAGGGGGCTGAATATTTGGGTTTAAACAGTTCCAGATGGGTTTGGCACAGGCTGAGCCGAAGGAAGTGAGGGCGCGGGAGGAGGGGGGCGGTGCGCGCAGCGCTGGGAGCCCTCGCCGGCTCGGGCGGAGCGGCAGGCGGGGGAGGGGGCGCGCTGGGCTCCGAGGGGTCCCGGGGCCTCGAATACTCCGGCTGCTGGCTGGGGAAGAGGCCACTTGGCAACCTCCCTCCCAGTCTCCGTCCCCTCGGCCTCCTTGTCTCTCCATGCCGCTGTCTTTTGTAGCCCGCCGCCGGCCATCCCGGCTGTCTGGTCGCAGCCCGCCTGCTCACACATCGCTCCGTCGCAGTGCCCGCCCACCCGTCCGCCTCCGGGAGGCCCTGCTCAGCCCCGCCTCTCTCCCGCCCGTCTCTGGGCCCTGCTTCTGCCCGTCTCGGCTTTCCTTCCCAGTGTGTCTGTCTGTCTGCCTGCCTGCCTGCCTGCCTGCCTGCTTGCCGGGGTGCCCGTCAGGCCACCGACGAGGCTGGGATAGCTCATCCTGCAGCCGGGTCCTCCAGGGACCAGGCGCTGCCGCAGGAGGAAGAGCGGAAGGCTCACTCCCAGCAGCACCTGGCTGATGCCCGGGCCCTCTGCCTCACAGGGGGGACACGGGCCACAGCTGCCCCGTCCACCCGCTCGGCTTGTCACCTTCCTCCGCTCAGACTCAGACTCCACGAAACCAGTGAAGGCGGCACCCCCCAAGCCTGTGGGGTCTGGTCTTTCACTGCTCTACCCTCAGCGGGCCCCACTGTTAATGTAGAGCCCCTGCCTCATTCCAGGGCAGAGCTGAGGGGAGGAGAGCTGTAGCTGCCCTGTCTCCAGGCCGCAAGAAAAGAAGTTGGCAGCCTCTTCTCCCTTTCCTGCTCCTAGGTCAGAGCTTGGGGTCAGCGCGGACTCTCAGAGGCCGGAGTTGGCCAGTTGGAACCCAGAGCCAGGTTCCTAGGGTAGCTAGTTTATGTAAGAAACCCTAAGGGGCCGCTCCTTGCGCCCAGCAAGGGGAAGTGGAACACAGGATTAGTGCTGGGACAAAGCCCTGGCCCTGTGTGCACAGAGAAATGTTTCTAAACCCTGACTTGAGAGTTAAGCGAAGGCTTCCTGGAGGAGGTGACAGCTCGGTTGGGACTTAAAGGATACACAGGAATTTTCCAGGCTCTCTGTGTCCCCGCTTTATAGAGGGGCCCCTGGAACTCAGAGGGCCTGGTTAAGGGGTTAGATTTGGAGTCAAATAGATCTGAATGTGAACCACCCTTCAACCCATCAGCCCAAGTCCTAGCAGTTTTACTGTAGGTAATACACATGCCTTATCTGGTCATTGGTTTTCTCAACTGTGACAAGGGTATACCAAGAGTAACTTCTTCCAACAATTGCAGTAAGAACTGAACTAGCTCTCTAGGAGCTGGTTCTGGGTCTTGGTGGTTCCCACACCACCCGCGAAAAGCATTCCTGCCCTACCCCTCTTGGGTGGTTGAGTGAGAGGTGACATGGAAGCTGGCTCTGGCTAACGCGCACCCCCCCCCCGCCCCCGCCATCCCCAGGGCAGTGTGTAGGGCTGGGCCTTTGTGCTGGAATGGAGTCAGGGGAGGCCAGGCGGCAGGGTCTGAAGCCCCCAGCCCTTTGTTCCGGGATAAAGGCCCTGCTGGCCCCTTTGTGTGGAGATTAGCAGAGACTGTAGGTGTGTGAACCCGCTTGGGCTCCCGCCTCATTAACCCAGGCCTGGGGTCAGCGGCAGACACCCGCCCCCAGCCGGCCTGACCTGACATCTCTGGGGCTGGCTCAGAGCCTCCTCCAGGGTGGGGAGATGGGGGCTTCTGGGTTTCGAGGAGTGGGGGCTGGTGGGAAATGGCCTCCTGTGTCCTTGCTTTCCTGGGCGACCCCCTCTTTCTCCCCATCCTGAACTTCGTCCCTGAAATTTTCCTTCTCTGTTCCTCCAGAGACCCTCATGGACACGAAATGGGTAACATCTGAGTTGGCGTGGACATCTCATCCAGAAAGTGGGGTAAGACTTCCCCACCATCTCCTGAGCATGGGTTGCCAACTAGGCCACCATTGCCTCCTCACGCCAGCCCCTCCTCACCTCACCAGGGCCTGTTGCCCTCACCCCTTCGACATCTCTTGTCCTTGGCACCTGTCACCTTCCTTCTTGCCTGATGGTCCCTCTCTGTGGGTGTTTTTCTCTCTCTCTCCTGCCTGCCTGTACCCCCCTCCCCAAACACACACAACATCTCTGTCCCATTCTCCCTTGCTCACCTCTCAGCCTGTCCTCAGCCTGTGCCTGTCCCTCTCCTGCTGAGAGCCCTTCACGTGTCTGACCTGACCCTCTCCCTCCTTCTTGGGACCCTGGAATGAGCACTGGCCTTGGTTCCAGATCTCTAACTTGCTGTGTGACCTTCAGGAAATCACATTACCTCTCTGGGCCTCTATTTCTTGACCATTAAATTTCCGTAGTCCTGACATCTCTGAAATATTCCTTGCATTGCTTTCATGCCTGCACTGAGGCCTAGATCAAACACTAGGGCAGGATGGCACAGCTCTCACCAGGCCTGACCGTATGGCCTTGGGCAAGTCTCTGCCTTCTGTAAGCCTTAACCTCCTCGTCTCTAGAATGGGGACAACAAAAGCACCTCCTCATGGAGTCGCTGTGAAGAATAATCGTGATGGTAATAGCGATACCAACCCGTTGCCGTCGAGTTGATTCCGACTCACAGCGACCCTATAGGACAGAGTAGAACTGCTCCATTGGGGTTTCCAAGGAGTGGCTGGTGGATTCGAACTGCCGACCTTTTGTTTAGCAGCCAGTCGCTTAACCCCTACACCACCAGGGCTCTGGTAATAGCGATAGCCAGTATTTATCAAATGCTTGCTGTGTCAGGAGCCTTTACATAACCTATATTAAATGATGTAGTTCTGCACAGCTTCATTTCATTCCAAGCAGCCCTATGTTACAGAGGAAGAAACTGAGGCATAAAGATAATAAATATTATAGCTAATGCTCATATAGTACTTGCCCCGTGCCCAGCCCAGCTCTAAGTGCTTTACTCAAGTAAAGTCATTTATTCCTTCCATATCTCTATGTGGCTGGTATCATTTTTACCCCCATGTTACAGACGGGGAAACTGAGGCACGGGGAGGTTAGTGACCTACACAGCAAGCAGCGAGCTGGGATTTGAACCTCTATAGTCTCACTCTGGAGCTTTGGTGGTGCAGTGGTTAAGGGCTCAGGCTGCTAAACAAAAGGTCAGCCGTTCAGATCCACCAGCCACTCCTTGGAAACCCTATGGAGCACTTCTGCTCTGTCCCATAGGGACGCTGTAAGTCGGAATTGACTCGACGACAATGGGTTAGTCCCACTCCACAGTCTGTGTGTGAAGTAAACATAGTAGATCTGGGCGTGTGGTAAGCACTTAGCACCCGTCAGAGCTCACTCTGTCTTTTTCATTTGGTCCATGCACAGTGGGAAGAGGTGAGCGGCTATGACGAGGCCATGAACCCCATCCGCACGTACCAGGTGTGTAATGTGCGAGAGTCCAGCCAGAACAACTGGCTCCGCACGGGGTTCATCTGGCGACGGGACGTGCAGCGCGTCTACGTGGAGCTCAAGTTCACTGTACGTGACTGCAACAGCATACCCAACATCCCTGGCTCCTGCAAGGAGACCTTCAACCTCTTCTACTACGAGGCTGACAGCGACGTGGCCTCACCCTCCACCCCCTTCTGGATGGAGAACCCCTACGTGAAAGTGGACACCATCGCGCCCGACGAGAGCTTCTCACGGCTCGATGCCGGCCGCGTCAACACCAAGGTGCGCAGCTTCGGGCCGCTCTCCAAGGCCGGCTTCTACCTGGCCTTCCAGGACCAGGGCGCCTGCATGTCGCTCATCTCCGTGCGTGCCTTCTACAAGAAATGCGCGTCCACCATCGCAGGCTTTGCGCTCTTCCCTGAGACCCTCACTGGGGCCGAGCCCACCTCGCTGGTCATTGCCCCCGGCACCTGTGTCCCTAACGCTGTGGAGGTGTCAGTGCCCCTCAAGCTCTACTGCAACGGTGACGGGGAGTGGATGGTGCCTGTGGGCGCCTGCACCTGTGCCACCGCCCACGAGCCAGCCGCCAAGGAGACCCAGTGCCGCCGTGAGTGGGGACTGGCCTGGGGAGGGGTGTGAGGGGAGGGTCTGGGCCACAGCTACCTGCCCGCCCCTACCCACTGCCAGACAAGGAGGCCTGACATCAGCTCTAGGGTGGAGGGAGGAAATCGAAGAGTGGGTATCAGGTGCTAATAGGAGAAAAAATAAAATTAGAGACGAAGAGAGACGTGGAAGGTTCTGGACAACCAGGCACCTGTGGAACCTGGTCAAGGACTCAGGAGGCTGGAGAGATGCCGCTTTGTCCCGCCCCAAGCACACACTCTATCCCAGGAGTACTAGCTGGGCACAGGGGCTGTGGGCACCTCTTGTTTGGCACACTTACCTTGGGTCTCACCTGTCCTCAAGGCGGTATATACCCTTCAGGGCCCAGGCCCTAAAGTCCTGGCTCTGCCACTGAACACCTGTGCGACCTTTGGGCAATGTCTTAACTCTTTGAACCTCAGGTTCTTCACGTGTAAAATGGGGACAATAATGGAGATTGCTTCGCAGGGTTTTAGTGAGGCTTAAGGGAGTCGATACATATACGGCCCTTGGAACAGTGCCTGGCGCGGGGCGAGCACAGGCGCCATGTAAGTGTTAGCCATGCATCTCAGTAGCCCTGGGGTGCATGGAGGACGGGGTGATTTTGTCCTTATTTTATACATGAGGAGGTTAGCTGACTTGCTCCTGGTGGTTTCCACGGCCCATAGTAAGGCCTTACATAGTATTAGACTTTCCAGTTATAATCCAGTCACCTAGGATTCTCTTCGTTGAGCCTTACCACAACCTTGTAAGGTAGATTCTATGATCTCGTCTGTCTTGCCAATAAGGAAACTGAGGCTCAGAGAGGCTCTGTACTCAAGGCCACGTACATAGGAAGTGGTGTAGAGTAGAACCTCCTCTGGTGCTGAGGGCCTTGCTCTCTGATTCTCCTCCCTGGGGCAGGCAGCTCTGAGAGTGGAGGAAGGAGCGAGGGGGCTGGGCAGCCTCAACCTGGCTGTGAGGTGCAGCGTCGTCGTGGGAAGGTGAACAGTGCCTTGCCCGGCCCCTCTCCACTTCTCTATGGGAACCTGCCTAAGACTTCCTCTTCCTGAGTGCAGAAAGGCAGTGGGGGTGACAAGCCTGACAGCCTCGAGAGGGACTAACACTCTGCAGGTCTCTGGCAGGAAATGCATGCTGGTTCCCATAGCAACCAGGCTGGCCTGGCCTCTGCCCCCTCCCCCACTGGTTCAAAAGAGCTAGGGTGGAATATCACCTTAGCAGGGAACAGGAGATTGAACTCCAGAGAGGGTACACCCCCGACTCTGGGCGTTCCACACTCTGGGTGACCCCCTCCAGGGGTAGGCATGTGTGAGTAGGTTGACCATATGCTTTGGTTTGTTCAGGACAGTCCTGATTTATGCCCATTGTCTTGTGCCCCCTTTACTCTCAAGATATCCCAGTGTGAAGAAGAAAGTATATGGCCACCCTAGAGAAGGGGAATCTACAGAACCCACGTTCAGGGCCGAGCAGAGATGGCAGGGCAAGAGATGGGGGAGGACAATGTTCAGGCACTGAGCACTGGGCTAGCTTTGGGGCCTCTGAACTCAGGGTGACTCCAGCCTTCCTGCCTGCTTCTTTCCCTGCTTTTCTCACCCCTCCTAAGCCCCCACCCCTGCCCAAGGGCAGAAAGGAGCCGTCTGCCCTGTTCCTTGTCTGCCCTGTTCCTCATGGGTGGGGAGAAAGGCTGGCTGGGAATCTCTGAGCTCCGCCTCCTGCCTGTGTGGAGGTTGTCCTTCAGGGTCCTCAGGAATGATTTTCCTAGTGCTGCAGGGAGGGGTGGAGGTGTCCCAGCCGAGCGCAGGATACTGCCAGCCCGCTGGTGGTCTCTTTCCTGCCCCGGTCTCTTCCTCCTCCTCCTCCTCCTCCTCCTCCCTCCCGTCCCTGCCTCAACAAGCCCAGGCTGTCCAGGTGATGGGGCTGACGTCTTCCTCTGGGAGGCCCCGGGGTTGGGGTTGGGGTTGGGGGGGCGAAGGTGGGGAGGAATCTGCTGACGTGGGGTTTCCATGGGGCAAAAGGGCCTTTTGTAGCTGCTACTGGAATTGGGCCACCCTAGCCTTGCCCCCACAGTCTGGGAGGTGGAGGGGCCTAGAGCTAGGCTGTAGAAAGGCCAGATTCTCACGGAGGTGTGGAGGATTGGTGTCTGCAGGGCTGGGAGGGGAGGTGAACCCGGCCATCTTCTCCCCAACAGCCTGTCCCCCTGGGAGCTACAAGGCAAAGCAGGGAGAGGGGCCCTGCCTCCCCTGCCCCCCCAACAGCCGCACCACCTCTCCAGCTGCCAGCATCTGCACCTGCCACAATAACTTCTACCGTGCGGACTCGGACTCTGCGGACAGTGCCTGTACCAGTGAGTCAACACAAGGCCTCAGGCCATCCTACTCCGGCCTGCCTGCTGGGGGCCTGTCTGCGAGGGCCAAGACAGCTGCTAGAAAATCCTCATTTTCCAGATGGGGAAACTGAGGCTCAGAGAGGTTAGCTGCTGTGCTCAAGATGGCACGGCTAGGAGGTGACCACCCCTGAGCCAGAACCTGGGCTAGTCGGCTCATCCCTTCATCCCCATGAAAGAAGCTCCGAATAGCCCCTAGCCAGGCATCAGGGACCCGCGGGGGCCTCCTAGCCCAGTGCTGCTTCCTTTGTACAGAACGGCTGTCCTCTTGGCCCACCCCTCACCATGGAGGGGGCCTCACATCCCTGGGGCAGCCTACTGTCCCAGCTCTTCTCTGCTCTGGCCTTTGGTGTGCCAGGCATTGTGCCAGGTGCCAGGGATGCGGAAGACAATAAGCTAGTCATTATCCTGAAGGAGTCACAACCTGCTGGGGAAATAGATGTGAAAACCGATAATCACCATGTAACGTGGGAGGTGCTGAGCTAGAGGGATGCCCAGGAATTGTGTCATGGGAGTATGGAGGACCAGAAAAGGTTGAATCAAGGAAGTCTTCCAAGAGGAGGTGACATCTGAAGTTGACCTTGAAGGATAAATAGAAGTTTGCCAGGTGACAAAGTCTAGGAAAGGTGTTCTGCTTGTCAAAGCAGAAGCAGAGGTGAGGAGGCAGGAAGCAGCATGGGGCGTGCAGGCCCTCTTGGTCCCCCAGCTCACAGCCCTCTAGGCCCCCCAGCTCACGGTCCTCTCCCTCCATCGTCCCCCAGCGGTGCCATCTCCCCCCCGGGGAGTGATCTCCAACGTGAACGAGACCTCGCTGATCCTCGAGTGGAGCGAGCCTCGGGACCTGGGTGGCCGAGACGACCTCCTGTACAATGTCATCTGCAAGAAGTGCCGGGTGGCCCCCGGGGGCGGGGGCGCCTCCACCTGCTCACGCTGCGATGACAATGTGGAGTTTGTGCCTCGGCAGCTGGGCCTGACGGAGCGCCGGGTCCATATCAGCCACCTGCTGGCCCACACTCGCTACACCTTCGAGGTGCAGGCAGTCAACGGCGTCTCGGGCAAGAGCCCCCTGCCCCCTCGCTATGCAGCTGTGAATATCACCACCAACCAGGCTGGTGAGGAGGGGCCCAGGAGGGCAGGGCCTGGGGCAACTTCTTGGGGCCTGCTAAGGGGTCTCACAGGCACTGGGCCCTCTGGAAGGACGTCAGGGTCTGAGGAGCCCCTGGTGAGCCCCCTGCTCTTCCCCAGCCCCGTCCGAAGTGCCTACCCTACACCTGCACAGCAGCTCAGGCAGCAGCCTGACCCTGTCCTGGGCGCCCCCAGAGCGGCCCAACGGCGTCATCCTGGACTACGAGATGAAGTACTTTGAGAAGGTCAGCACCCCGCGGGGCAGGAGGCGGCCCTGGGCTGAGCTGGGGCAGGATCTCCTGCTGAGGGGGCTGTGGACGGGGGCCGGGTGGCCTCAGAGCCACTGAGGATGCTCCTTCCTCCTGGTCTTGCAGAGCGAAGGCATCGCCTCCACAGTGACCAGCCAGAAGAACTCGGTGCAGCTGGACGGGCTGCGGCCCGACGCCCGCTATGTGGTCCAGGTTCGCGCCCGCACGGTGGCGGGCTATGGGCAGTACAGTCACCCGGCCGAGTTTGAGACCACAAGTGAGAGAGGTACAGAGCCCCCCATCCCCGTCCCTGCCCCAGCCCGTACTTAGCAACCCTCCCCTCACCCAGCCCTCTTGTCTCCAGGCTCTGGTGCCCAGAAGCTCCAGGAGCAGCTTCCCCTCATTGTGGGCTCGGCCGTGGCCGGGCTCGTCTTCCTGGTGGCTGTTGTGATCATTGCCGTCATCTGCCTCAGGTACTCCCAGCCCCAAGGCTGCTCCCGTGGCTGACCGGAGCTTCCCGTTAGTGCCCCAGAGTCCTCAGGCCCCCCTCAAACCCAGAGCCTCCCTAGGCCCAGTCTGTCCTTGCTGGACAGGCCTGTCTTCTCATCTTGTCCCGTCGCCTGCATCGACTGGCAGGTCACCTCAGGGACCAAGCCCACGAAGACCCTTTCCCGAAGCCCACTGGCTGCTGCAGCCACCGACTGTGGGACCATGCCTTGTGCTCACTTTGCCCCCGGATCCCAGGACAAAGGGAGCTGGAGGACTTGTCTCAGGCTCCTTTCTGTCCGCCCTCCTAGGAAACAGCGACGCAGCTCTGACTTGGAGTACGCGGAGAAGCTGCAGCAGTACAGTGAGTTTGTCTCCCCATCCCACCTCCCAGGGCGCCTCAGGTCCCCTGCAGGGCTCGGAGACACCCTCTTCCTTGCCTGGGCCTTCATTCCTTGAGGGCTTATCCTGGAGGCTCCTTCCTGCTTCCAGTCAAGCGCCATTTCCTGAGCCCCCTCCTCACTCCAGAGCTCTGAGCCCCTCCTCACTCCAGGTCCAGGTACTCTGAGCTCCTCTTCACCCCAAGTACTCTGAGCCCCTCCTCACTCACTCCAGGTACTCTGAGCCCCCTCCTCACTCCAAGTACTCTGAGCTCCCCCCTCACTCCAAGTACTCTGAGCCTCTCCTCACTCATTCCAGGTACTCTGAGCCCCTCCTCACTCACTCCAGGTACTCTGAGCCCCTCCTCACTCACTCCGAGTACTCTGAGCCCCCTCCTTACTCACTCCGAGTAC